TTTTTGTTGTTGCTTTGAGGCCATACCCAGTGATGCTCAGGGGACTAGGAGTGATGCTGGGGATGGAGGCCCGCTCAAACCCTGCTTCCCCATCACTGTCTCTCGGGCCAGTATACACATTTGTTCCTTCCTGTGCCTTTCCTGCCCTTTAAATCATCCAGGCTGATGAAAGAGGCAATAATGGGGGCTTAGGGCACATCTGGAAAGCGACGTGGGAAAATTTATGGGCAGCTGTGCCATGCTGCCCATAAATAGTAGAAGCGACTCTCGCTGCCTGTTGCTGGGTGTGAAAAGTTGCTGTTTTGGGCCTGAACTGAGTTGAACAGCTGTCTTCTGCCTCCCATGCCAGAGATACTCATTCATTCCAGGTCCCCCAGTTATTGGGGAGTCGTGAGTCAGTGGGCATGAGGAATACTCAGAGAACACTTTTTCTCTGGCAGAAAAAGTTTTGATGCTGCGTTTGGAAGCTTGAAAACTGAAGAATCCTTATGTTAGGGGTATGTGTGTGTGAGAGAGAGAGAGAGAGAGAGAGAGAGAGAGAGAGAGAGAGAGAAGAGAAAAAGGAAAACGTAATTTGAACACAGATATACCTCATTATTTCTGTGTGCAGTGAGCAGTGGTCTTGATTTTTCTAAGAAAACAGTTGTGATTAGTGGTGTAATTTATGGACAGGGAAATTGGTCACTTTTGAGCAGCTAGAAATCACGATTGACTTCAGATTGAGTGCTTTGGGCTTGTACTGTGCAATTGTGAATGAGGTGGGGAGATGGGAGGGTTTAGTTTCCATCAAGAACAGCAGCCAGGAGTTGGGGTGACAGCTCAGAGGACTGGACCCAGCCCAAGTTTCACATCCAGGCACCTGAGTTCTCTGGTACCACTTGGTCCTTGGAGCAGAAAAACAAACAGTAGCCCAGGGAAAGGTGAAAATGAAGATCGGCACTCACAGGTTCACTCAGGGGGTTTAGAGATGGAGATGTTGTATAAGGGCAAAGGGGCCGGGTATGTTTCATCTCCTGAAGGGGGGGATGAAGGCAGAAGTTTCTGGACGAAGATAGCATCACATTCTCCAGTGTACAACTGTAAGAAGTCCAAGGGCCCCGGTTGCTGTGGGGAATAGATCAGGGTGATAGCTTTGAAACTGGGTTCTCACGGGTTAGGCTCAAGTGGTAGTACACATGCCTTGCCTGAGTAAAGCCCTAGTACCAACCCCCTCCCTCCCCCCGGCACTGCTGGGCCCCCATGTGCCCCTGGGCACGGTAGCAACCAACCTACCTTCAAGTCACTTGGGGAAGTTGTTGGTCCTCATTGATTGGAGCTGGAGAAGGGACTAAGGACATAGCAGGTTCTTGGCAAGTGCCCAGGAGATGGGAGCATCTGTCCTAGGATGATCAAGGAAAGATGCTCGAGGTAACCCCACTTCCTGTGTCTTCAGAACTGTATGGGTGCTTCTGCCCAGTGCTTGGTGATCCTTTCGGGTTGCTGCTTTTTCACTTGGTTCTTTCCTACCATATTTTCTAGAGCTTTCCTACAGTTCCTGCAGTGCTGGGGAGAGAGGCTAGCAGGGTCAGGAGGGCTGCAAGTTGCTCCCTGGCTTCTCTGAGCCCCCAAGGCTGTGAGCTGCAGCCTCTCTCTCAGCGGGCTGCATTTGGGGTGCAGAGACAGAGGGATCCCAAGGGCCAGACTGGCAATTTTTTAGGATGTGTGGGTGGCCTGGGAAGACGCTCAGGGGAGGGGGGCTGATGGTGAGCCGCCATCACTTTGGTGGCTGGGTCCAGGCACTTTAGACTAAGTGAAAGAGGAGGCGCTCAGTTTACTTTTGTCTTGTCTTTGGGTCATACCAGATGGTGCTCAGGGGCCACTCCTTGCTGGGTTCTCAGGGATCCTGTTCAGTGCTAGGGATTGAACTGAGGTTAACCACATGCCGGGCTAGCGTCTTAACCCCCGGGCTGGGAGGCTGCTTTGAGTTTGTAGATTTTTCTTGTTGTGGCTGTCGTCCAGGCAAAGACTAGCCTCAGGAGTGCGGTCTTGGTGCTGTTTGGCTGCCGGGCACCCGAGTGTGGTTTTGCTGCCTGCAGTTTCCTCCTCCTCCAGATCCATAGGATTTCCTGCTGGGAAACTTGACAGTAGGTGTGTAGAGTATCATGCCCTCTGTCTGTCACCCCAGACGGACAGACAGAATGAAGGGAAGGAATCAATTTAGCTCAGGCATCTTCTCAGGTTCAGATCTTACTGGTTTTGTGTTGGTTTTATTGAGGTTTTGGGTCCGCCTGCCATGCTGCCATGCTCAGGGCTTACTCCTAGCTCTGTGATCACTCCTGGAAGCATCAGGGGATCATGTAGTGCCAGGGGTCAAGCCTGTGTCAGCCACATTCAAGGAAAGTGTCTTAATTCCTGGTCTTGTAAAATTTCTTCCTGAAACCGGTTCCAGGGACTCAGGCAGTGACCCAATAGAGAGACTGGGTTCCCATAAACGAAACTCACAATAAATGAAACATCTTTTTTTTTTAAAAATGTTGTTTTTCATTTGTTTTTCTGTGCTTATAGTTCTTTAAAATTAACAAAAGCAGAAGTGGGCCATGACCTTTTCACCACATTCCCTCCAACACAGATTGTTCCTACTACTTTTGGTTTTGATTCTGGTGGGGGTGGGGGGAAGGGGAGAAGGGAGTGGGACAGGGAGGCCGGGTTGGGACACACTCAGAGGTGCTCAGGGCTTACTCCTGGCTCTGTGCTCAGGGATCACTCCTAGTCGACTCAGGGGAACATAGGGGGCTGAGGACCAAACCTGGATCGGCTGTGTGCAAGGCAAACACCCTACCCGCTATATATTATTGCTCCGGCGTCTGTTCCTTCTATTTTGGTTAATGCCAATTCTTATTGTGAGATGCATCTCATTGTCATCTCGATTTGGATTTTTCTGATTATAGTTAATGGTGAGCATTTTCTCATGTTTCTACTGGGCTGGAGCGATAGCACAGCGGGTAGGGCGTTCACCTTACAAGCGGCCAACATGGCCGACCCGAGTTCGATTCCTCCGCCCCTCTCGGAGAGCCCGGCAAGCTACCGAGAGTATTCGATATGCCAGACACAGTAACAACAAAGTCTCCGATGGAGACGTTACTGGGCCCGCTCGAGCAAATCGACGATCAACGGGAGGGCCCACTGGCTATCCACTTGTCTCCCTCTGAGAAGTGTCTATCTCTTCTCCCCAGTTTTTAATAAATTTTTGAATTTTTTTGTTGTTGATCTGTGTGAGTACTTTATACATATTCCGGTATATATTTTATATGATATATACATATATATAGTGTTGAATGCAAATATTTTTTTCCATTCTGTTCTTTCAGATTTAGCCCATGTTTCTTTTGCTACCGAGAGTATCTCGCCCGCATGGCAAAGCCTGGCAAGCTACTCGTGATGTATTCAGTATGCCAAACACAGTAACAAAAAGTCTCAACATGGAGACGTTACTGGGCCCACTCGAGCAAATCGATGGACAATGGGAGGACAGTGTTTGTTCTTTTGCCATAAAGAAGCTCTTTAACTTTATGTAGTCCCATTTGTTTATTTTTCATTGTGTTGCCTTTGCCAGTGGTATCAGATCACTGCAGATGCCTTTGAGGCCCAGATCTTAGAGCGTCCTGCCTATATTTTTCTCAGTGGACTCGATAGTTTCTGGTCAGATCTCAAGGTCCACTTTGAATTGACTTTTGTGTGTGGTGTAAGATACAGATCCAGCTTTAATTTCTTATACAAAGTTATCCAGTTTTCCCAGTACCATTTGTTGAAGAGGCTGTCTTACCTCCATTTTGTGTTCTCAGCTCCCTTCTTGAAAATTAACTGGCCTTGCTCTGACCAGGCCCTTAAAGTGTGTGGCTTCGTGCCAAAAAGTTGAGTTTTCCTGATTGGAAAGAGTGTGAGAAGCTGAGCACAGTTAGAAGGTGAAGACCTGACTTCACTTCCTGGCACTGCATGTCCGTCGAGTAGCGCTCAGGGTGGCCCCTGAGCACGGCTGGGTGTACAAAGCCCCCCATATCCCACTGTGTTTTCTTGGTGTATCTGGGTAGAGTAATTTTCCTTGCCTGTCTGGAGAAGCGCATTCATTCACAGCCCTATTGAAGGCATGTTAGAGGGTGAAAGAGGCAGGGAGATACTTTTCTGAAAGATGAAAAGAATAAAAATTGGGGCCAGAGCAATAGTACCGTGGGTAGGGTGCTTACCTAGCATGCTGCAGACCTCGGTTTGATCCCCGGCATCTCATGTGGTCCCCCTAACCTACCATGAGTAATTCCTATGCATAGAGCCGGAAGAGTAAACCCTGAGCACCACCAGGTGTGGCCCCAAATCTTGCCCTTTACCATATTTCATGCATACTTTGCAGAATTTTGTTTTCAAGTTTTTGGGGGGGCCACACCTGGTGGTGCTTGGGGCTTACTCCTGGCTGTCCACTTTCTGAGGTGTCATGGGAGGGTATGGCACCCAGGCAAGCTTGACCACTCAGTACTGAATTTTCAGGCGCTCATCAGAATGCCAAGGAGTGGGGTGCTGGTATTTGGTTCTGGGGCTGCAGAGAGAGAGAGACAGAGACAGAGACAGAGACAGAGAAGGAATTAAGGCATTTGCCTGCCTGGTTTCGATAGCCCCCAGCACCTCATAGATTTTCCCTGAGTTCCATCAGGAGTGACCCCTGAGCACAGAGTTCAGAATCACTGCTCTTTTTTTTTGGGGGGGGGGGCGGGGGTTGGTTACCCCCTAGTCTCTCAAAAAAGGTTCTGTGACACAACCACAGCCCTGATTGCATTTGCAGCATAGTCCTGGCATCCTCCGTGCCCAGCTAGGAAGGACAGGATGGGGTTAGCAGAGTGTGATGGGGCATCACACACTACCCCTCCCCCAGCCTGGCCTCTGGCTTTGGTTCAGCCCCAGATCTCGCTGCTGAGCCCCTGTCTTTATGCAGGAGGACTGACCACCGTGTTCTTTGCCTGTTCCGTTCCCTCTAGGACGGCTCCCTGGGCACCATCGATGACCTGGCGCAGCAGTACGCAGACTATTACAATACCTGCTTCTCGGACGTGTGCGAGCGTATGGAGGAACTGCGCAAGCGTCGCGTCTCCCAGGACCTGGACGTGGTGAGTGGGCGGCGTCCGGGGGCTGGGGGCGGGGGCAGCAGGCATCAGATCTCTGAAGAAGGATGTGAACACTGGGCCTCCACGTGCAAGGCTGAGCTACGCCCCAGTTCAGCGCATCCGTGCCGCGCTCCCCAATGGTATGAGCTGCGATCAAGTCTTGCAGGGAGTGACAAACGGGCTTTTCACTGGGGGCTGGTTCGAGGCTCTCAAGTGGTGCCTGGGAACCTGAGGACCCCATCCCAGAGACACATGTCCCAAGTGGCCACTGGTTCAATATCAAGCCCAGGGTAGGAGTAATGTGACATAATGGCCATCAAATAGTGACTGATCCTCAGTCCCCGATACGCTTTGCAAGAGCACCTCCCTTCCAACTGTCTTTAGTGAATGGCAAGATTATATATTTCCTCCCTGGGTGGAGAGCAACCTCATGTGGCCAGCGACTCACCAGTTCCATTAAAATTAATTAGACTCGCCTGTTGGGGCAGAATTAATGAAAAAAAAAGTTTTTCCTTTTGGCAAGACTGCGGCAGGACAACAACTTGATCGCTGTTGTCATTAGAATTTCTTGAAAGTTGTACCATTGACCTTGAACGTGGCCTTCTGTGGTGGCCTCGGGGATGCTTCCCCCTTGCTCAGGCGTGATGGAGGCCGGGAATGAGGCCGCGTCTTCATCAGGTTCTCACTGGGGGAAAGCAGGAGGGGAACTGGTAGCCTTTCCTAGTTTTTCAGTACCTTGGAAGGCAGCTTCGAGGCAGGAACGGAAGGTGGTGGGCTTGGCGGTGGGCTGAATCACGCCTTCCCGTTTAGACAGATGGGCCTGATTTGGCAGCATTCTCTTTCGGAGCTGCAAAGGAGAGTCTGGGGACCTGGAACACCACAGGCGCTTAATTAGTTCTCATCAGAGGTGCAGGAATGGGGTGGTGGGTAAAATTGATGGGAGATGATTTAGGCCAGGCAGCTAGCTCGGTTCCATCCTTTATGCTGTAATGAGTGAGATCAGGGAGATCCCAAATCAGCACGGGCAAACCCTCCCCCAGTGAAATTCCAGGACGCACACAGGTGCGAAAGGAGACTGCTCTTGTTAGCACAAAAGTATGCTTATTCCTGAGCTCATGGGCTCCTGAGAACCCTACAAAAGATTTGCAGAGAAAATTCAGATGCTTAAGAAGTTAGCTTATTGGGGGCCAGAGGGATAGTTCAGTGGATAAGGCACTTGCCTTGCACACAGCTGACCCAGGTTCTATCCCCGGTAAATATATGGTCCCGCGAGTCCACCAGGGGTTATTCCTGAACACAGCTAGGAGAAAGCCCTGAGCACCACTAGGTGGGGCCCCCAAAGCACTGTAGCACTGTAGCACTGTCCTCCCGTTGTTCATCAGTTTGCTCGAGCGGGCCCAGTAACGTCTCCACAATGAGACTTGTTGTTACTGTGTTTGGCATATTGAATATGCCACAGGGAGCTTGCCAGGCTTTGCCGTGCAGATGAAATACTCTTGGTAGCTTGCTGGGCTCTCTGAGAGAGGCGGAGGAATTGAACCCAGGTTGGCCGGACTGGCCACGTGCAAGGCAAATGCCCTACCTCTGTGCTATCACTCTAGCCTTCAAAGCAAACAAAAAAAGAAGTTAAAGTTTTTATTATACAGTTCAAGTAGATGGGTCTGCGTGCCTCCCCAGTGTTCAACCCTCTCCTATCATCCTTGTCCTGATGTCACTTATCCTGTCCCTGGATACCTGTTCCTGATTATGATGTGTCGGTTCTGTCCTTCACCAACTGTGTAAGATGGCGTGGTTTTCTCCCTCTGCTGTTCTCTGTCCAGTGTATGCATTCCTGGTCTTGAATTTGCAGCTGGTATCCTGTCATCTGCATCCTCTATTTTTTGTTTACTTTGTTTTTTTTTGGGGGGGGGTCTCACCTGACAATGCTTCGGGGTTACTCTTGGCTCTGAACTCTGGAATTACCCCTGGTGGGCTCAGGGGACTATATGGGATGCAGGGGACTGAACCCGGGTTGGCTGTGTGTAAGGCATGCATCCTCCCCATTGTATTCTCACTCTGACCCCCATCTGTGACCTCTCATTGGTATTTGCCATAGCCATGTGGGTAAGAACCTTCACTGTCCTGCCGTCTCTCAGGGCGCAGGTGAGGGACCGAAGGGAGCATTTGCCTTCCTTTCATTTGCTGCTTTCTCTCGCTCCCAGTCCTCCTGTGATCTTTTGACTGGATCCCTCGTCTGTAGGTGAGATGTAAAAAATGATCAACTAAACGAGCTGGCACCCTGCCCGCCTGTTCCTACCTTAACACTCTAGCTGCACAGACCATAGATGTGCTATGCTTTGCACATGGCTGTCAGGGAATGGGACTCAGGGCGTCTGTTAGATGTGCTTTGCTATCATTGTGGTGCTGGGAATTGAACCCGGGATCTCTGGTCCACACTATACTTTGAGCCCCCTCCTGGAAGGGTTTGATGCCCTGGAAGGATTACCCTCCGTTCACTTCATGCTAAGGAAGTCATACTGGCGACTTCCTGAATGCTCCTGCTCATTGCAGATGGAATCCTGGTGGGAAATCATTTTCCAGAGCAGCTGTACCTCCATCCATCACATTGTCTCGATGCCTCCCCTTGCAGTGGCATTTCTAGACTTTGGACCAGTGGAGCCATTTCCTTTCCTGCCTCACGGTAGGAGCTCCTTGGGATCTGAAAGGCCTACCTGCAGCTTGCTAAGCTCTCTGCCGGCGGGGAGCCTCGTCAGAGTGGAATATGTGATGCATGACAGTTGAACATGAGAGGCATCAGAGTTGAATGTGGGATGCTTCGGGACACTTGATGAGGAGAGAGTAACAAATTAGAGTAAAAACCATTTGGACCGTGGCCCTAGATTTGCTGTACCTGCATTTAAAAATAAACAAACAAACAAAAAAACCACCTTATTTTTGGAGGTGAGAGATAGAACATCTTGCCTTGTACACAGCCTCCCGGCTTTGATCACGACTCTGCATAGGGTCCCCTGAACACTGCCAGGAGTGATTCCTGAGAGCAGAACCAGGAGTAAATCCTGAGCTTGTGTGGCCCCCAAACAAAAACAAAACAAAACAAAAACCAACTAACCTTATTTAGGGCCAGAGAGATCGTTAAGTGTCTTGATTTACATGTAGGTGACCCCAGTTTGATCCCTGGCACCACATAACCCCCCTGCACACCCCCTCTGTCTCCCAGCAACACCAGGAGTGAGCCTGTGCACAGAGCCAGGAGTAAGCTCGTAAGTGTCACAGCCAACCAACCCCAATTCAAAAAATGCCTTATCTAGAGCAGTCTCTCTCAACGGCGGACTATAGTCCAGGCTATTCCAAGGGGGTTAAAAAAATGACGTACATGGGGCCTGAGGCATGAGACTAAGGATCAGCCAGTAGGCTGGGGCACGGGAAGGAAACAAGATCTTGAAGGGGCTACAGTTGGAAAAAGATTGCGAACAGATTTGGAACATCATCGTATGTGGGAGTACCTGGGGTGATGGGTTCATCAAGCCTTGGCTCTCTTTGATCGAAAAACCTGTGGGGATGAAATTAGGGGAGCTGAGAGGTCGCCTTGAGATGGTGGGCAGCAGTTTGCATTCGGCTTTAAGAAGAGGGGGAAAACGAAGGTGCTGTTCTGCAGAGTTAGCCGTCAGCAGAGTATAGACACTAGAGAGACATTCTGCCCTGGGAGGCGCTTGGCGCAGTCAGCCCTGGGAAACTTAGCTTTGCATCCGTGCCTTAGTAATTTGCTTTCTGGATGGGACAGGAAGCCGCATCTCCAGGACTTCACCAACCAGCCCCCCCACTGCATGGTGGCACTTGGGCAAGCATTTTGGGGGCCCATCGGTTTCTGTGGCAGCCACGGAGTGTGCAGATGGGTGAATATTATCCCTGTCTAAACGTGCTGATGATGCAGATTTATCACGATGGCGAGCGTTTTTATTTAGCCTCCAAGGGGCCCCGGGGAACCTTTGTGTTTGGCAGGTAGCCTCGGCCTGCTGGGGACTTGGCACGTCAGATCTGGCGATGGATGCAGCAGGGAGCGGCCCGTAGTGCCACAGTTGGCACCTGTCCTGGCCCTGCGTGTCATTTTGGCTGGGAGCAGCTCCATTTGGAGAGGGCTGTCACTTTCCTGGCCCGGAATGGGCCCATCTCTGGTGATGCTAAGTCTGACAGCTGTCATCGCTTTGACACTGTCAAAAAGGGACACACAAGGTAGCCTCTCGTCCTCAACAATTCACTACCTCCTCGGCCTCTTCATGGTTGCATCTGCTTGGGGTTGGCAGGAGTCAAGTTTTTAGGGTGTTGGGGCAGTACAGCCTTGGAGACAGAGTCCCCATCTGTAGCAGGATCCTGTAGGATAAGGCCCTGGGACCTGGATTCACATACATGTGCAGTGAAAGGGGGAAGGTCAGAAATAACCACCTCTACCTTCCCCGGCCCCTTAGAAGCCAACAGTCTCAATCAAATCAGCATTTTTGTTGATGTTGTTCCGGAGCCAGCTACGGCCATGCTGGGACCACTCTCCACATGTCTGGACAGGCCTCATGCATGAAAAAACTGGCAGAGGAACCCAGGCATGCGGGTCCCGGGGCGGAGGTCTCCAAGCCTACTCGGATTGGGACTGGGCCTTCTCTGCCCAGACCCCCCATCTTCCAGTAGGTAGGCTGCCACCAGCGCCAGGTTGGTCCCATCAACAGCCAAGATGCAGAGACTATAAAACTCAGCTCCCGGAAGTGCGTGGCCACATTCGCAGCCTCACAACATCTTATTATCTTATTTTTCCTTTGGAGAACCTGGTAGGCTACCAAAAGTATCCTGCCCACACAGCAGAGTCTGGCAAACTCCCCGTGTCGTACTCGATATGCCAAATACCAGTAACAATGATGGATCTCATTCTCCTAATCCTGAAAGAGCATTGAAATGGCTCTTTTAAAATCTCAGGGCTAGGAAGAAGGAGACGTTACTGGTGCCTGCTCGAGGCAATC